CACACACACACACACACACACACACACACACACACACACACAGCTATTTTGTAGCCGAGACTTTCTTTTGTTACTTTTGTCACTTCTTTTCACGGAAAACAGAAAGTTGTGAATTTCAGTATCTTATAATGTAGCTGCGTTATTACGATGGAGTTTTAGGTAGTGTGTAGTCATGCAGCAATTAATATCGCCTCATGATGTACTGTTGATGTGATAATCATTCTTGCAAATATATTTTTGTTCACGCAGTGTGAAAAATTATCAATTTTACAGCTAGCTTATAAATAAGTTTTCACAGTTAATAAAATTGTTGATAGTAAACTCCAAGACCAAGACATGTGTTTTTTAAGTTCAGAATTATAAAACAATTTGACTGACTTTGTCTCCTTGTTGTGTGACAGCCACAAACTCTCTCTTTTTCTCTTCCAGCTGGCACGAAGAGGCCTGGATATTGTTTTAATAAGCAGATGTGATAACAAGCTTCAAACTGTTGCCAGAGAAATCGGTGAGTTCAAGGAAAATACTACTTTCTGCGGCTATTGAGACAAAATAATCAAAAATATATTGTTTGTTTTCGTCAGAGGGTGTGTATGGAAGAAAGACTCAGACCATCCCAGTGGACTTCACACATGGCTACAGTATCTACCCTGCCATAGCCAAGGAACTACAAGGCCTGCAGATTGGAATTCTGGGTAATACATACCCACCTACTTTCCAACTTGCCTTTTTCTTACATACTTACTTACTGAAGCTGCTAATTTTGCATGTCCTTATGCCACATAGTTAACAATGTGGGAATGACCAGTACTGACTGTTTTGCCTATTTCCTGGAAATACCGGATGCTGAACAGGTAAGCGTTGTCGTGTTTTAATGTTATTAAACAGTTAATGAACTGTTTAATATATTTCTTCTGATAACAATCCTTTTTTCATTTTCTGTGTTTTTCTGACCAGAAAATCACTCAAGTGATCAACTGTAACATACTGTCAGTCCCTCAGGTGAGAGGTCTTTGTGGGTATTTCTGAGTAATTTTCACAGCTTTCTCCAATAAATAACCACTGATTGATACCTAAATGAGTTTATGTTCTCTCAATTCAGATGACCAGACTGGTTCTCCCAGACATGGTTAAAAGGTAAAGACAGAAACATTCAAATTTAAAGTGATTATTAGGTAGCAAGGTATGGGATGATGTAATGGATGTCTGCCTTCCATCTTTGACCCAGAGGAAAGGGGCTGATCATCAACATCTCGTCTATGACAGGTGTCCATCCACAGCCTTTGTTGACGCTTTACTCTGCCTCCAAGGTGCTGTTTCAGTATGACGTACTTGCACTCATTGTTTCAGATATACGCTGACCCCGTCACACTGTAATGTTTTCTCACTGGCACACGGTTTGATGATGCTCACTTGTTGGTTTGTCTGTTTTCTTCTTTATTCCAGACTTTCGTAACATACTTCTCTCAGTGTCTCCATGCAGAGTACAAGTCAAAGGGAATTACTGTCCAGGTAAAGTGTGCAACTCTGGTCAAATTCCAAAATTTCATTTATTTATTTATTTTTTCAGTTAAAAGCCAAATAACTCTGGCTCCCTTAATCTCTCCTCAGTGTGTGGCTCCCTTCCTGGTGTCCACCAACATGACAAAAAATGTGAAAGTGAACAGCTTCATGAAGAGCGCTACAGCGTTTGCTCGTGAGGCTTTGAACACCGTGGGTCACTCCAGCTGCACCACTGGCTGTCTATCACACGCAGTCCAGGTCAGTTATAAAGTGCTAAACTGTTATAGCTTAGAAATGATCCCCTCCAATACGTTAACATGTCACTTTTCCAACAACTTACAGAATGCGCTTCTTACAATGCTCTTGCCGGACTGTCTTCGGATGTCGACATTCCTCATTAGGAAACTACGAAGCTCAGGCAAGAAAAACGATTGGACCGGTGAAAACAGGGAGTAGTCATGTGACTCCATCTGCACTGATATTGAGGTTGTTTTTTTTCTGCAGGAGAAAATTATCACTCAAATATTACTGAATTACTTCAACTCTATGGTGAATAAAACCCATTCACGACTGTTTTAACTCTTAGACAACAAACTGGTTTCACCGTTTTACCTTAGGCATGTTGACATGGTCAAGATGACTTGATGACGTTCAGAATAGGGATGAAAGGTGATCTGTGTGACTTTGTATGTGGCTTGGTTTGCTTTCAATCAAAGGGTTATTTCATACCCCTGAGAGAGTTTGATTGCTCCTTCATACAAATATGAAAAAGTAGTAAACTGATTACAGTAGGGGTTGGCAACCCTAGGCATGCGTGCCACAG